GGCCCTCTGCACTCCACTTGCTCCAGCCAGATGGGACCCGTCCCCTCCCCAAACGCAGCCTCTCCCAGGGCAGACATGGCAGGGCCACAGCCCAGCTGCCTGCAGGCCACCTCGGCGTCCTTCATGTCCCAGGAGTCGTCACACACCGTCCCCCAGGCGCCGCGGTGCCAAACCTCCACTCTGCCCGAGCARCCRTCCTCTCCTCCCATGACCCGAATCTTCTCCATCTCTGGAAAACACAGAACTCTCTGTGTCACTGGGGTAGTTGGGAGGGTCTGCCTGGTGAGAAAGGCACAGCCAGGCGCAGCTACCTGTACAGCTCGTAGAGTTGGGGCACTCGGCCGCTAGGGCTGSAGGGGTTGCTGGTCGTCTCCCTGCAGAAGGAAATGCCAGAGTGAAGGAAGGGGCCGCGTCAAGAGGGTCATGTGTCCACATGATCAGGAATGACCTGTGCTTGAACCTCCCAGCACCTCCTCCTGCACATGGACGAAGCTGAAGCCCCCGATAATGCGGTGTATAACAGTGCTGAGCTCCAGGGTTACCCTGTCTGCTCACCCCAAAAGGTTCCCTGGTTAGCAGAGGAGCAGGAGCATGTCCTCAGAGGGGAGGCTGTTCTGAGCTCTGGTGCCAGCACTGCCCTGGGCATGGCCCGGTTCCTACATAACCCTGAGCCATCAGCGCTGCATTCTCTCTCACTCTTCCCGTTCCCTCAGCAAACCATGGCCCAGGAGTGGAATGCTCAGCATGGACTTGGACTTGCCAAGCTGAAAGGTAGTTGTCTAGGCCCTATCTCTGGGCAACAGAGAGCAACAGGCATCTCTGAGAGGTGTCCAAGGTGAGGTGGAAGAGACCCTGCTGCAGATGTCTCTTCCCAAGGGCCAAGTGCCTGTTGTTCATGGGGGCAGTTCAGGACAGCTACTGCTCATGGACATGTGCCTGAGAACTTAAGTTGTGTTTGTGTCACTGTCAGCAGAATGCTTTGGAATGGAAAGTAAAAGCCACTCCAGACCCCTTCTCAACATTGAACCTTGCTGAATAGGGGGAAAGTCCTACTGGGAGCTTTGTGCTACATGGCTCCAGCATTACCATTGCAGGTGATGTGGGTCTCTTCGCGTTGGTCATCACAGGAGTGTGGGTTCCAGGGAGCAGAGGGGCACTGCCAAAAGGAGATGTTCTTCTTCCCACACTCAACATGATCCAGCCATGTGTAGCCAGATACCTTGCCATATGGCAGRYCTGTTTCAAGGAACCCTCCATCTCCACAGCCCTGCTCTTTGCAYACCAGAGACACGGTGCTGGGAGTCATGGAGTTGGAGCAAACACCCCCCCATGTCCCGTTGTAGAAAACCTGCAGGCGCCCAGAGCAACCACCGCTGTTCTCCAGCTTCAAGGCCATGGACTCTGGAAGGAGAGCACAAAGTTGGGGTGAGCAGAGAGAAAGCTAAATCATCCCTGACAATTCCCCAATGGGTAGCAAGGCTTCTTCTAAGCAGCAGGAACTCTTCTGAACACCCCAGGACTCAGATAGCCAGAGGGCACTGCCAGCAGGACAYTCTTTCACCAAGGTGCAGCACTACCTCCCCTCAATCTGTGGGGACGCCTGTGCTCTCCCGATAGCCCTGAGTAGGTCCAGTGGGGAGTCCCCACTGTGTGCATGGGTGTCCCCAGGATGGGGYAGGAAGGGGGCTYAGGGYARCCRGGGACAGTCCAACCATGTCCAGCTCCTCTCTTATGCCTWCCTCCCCARGCTGCCCGCACAGACCTGAGCAGACGACTCCTGCGTCCTCTTTGTGCCTGCAGTTGTGCTGCCCCCAGGRCCTGGCCGGGCAGTCCCAGAGAGCAGCTTCATCCCCAGAGCAGTTCACGTCGTCCAGCCAGATCTGCCCAGAGCCTTCTCCGTAATGAGCAGAGCCTGTGAAATTCACAGCCACCCCGCAGCCCAGCTGGCGGCAAACAACRGTGGCGTCCAGCAGGTCCCAGGAGTCGTCACAGACSGTCCCCCAGGTGCCGTTGTAGTAGATCTCCACTCTCCCAGCACAGCGCCCTGTCCTGTGCACCAGACGGACCTGCCRGCTCCCTKYACCCAGGAGAAACCCGGCTGTCAGGGGCTCGCAGAGCTGGAGAGCACAGCACATTGGGGACYGTCAGAGCAACTCACCCGAGCAAATCACCCCCACGTCCTCAGCAATTCCTGTAGGCACTGCCACAGGCAGGGAGGTGTTGCAGAAGGTCAGGTGAGTCTCCTTCCCTGTACACTGGACCCTTCTCAACCCCACAGGGCCTGTCCCTCGCTCAGGCTTTGGTGGGTTGTAGGCTTGCTCTGCCTCTCCGCACTGGAGCTGCCGGCACACCACGCTGGCGTCGTTCATGTCCCACTGGTCATCCAGGACTCGGACCCATGTCCCATTGAAGGGCATTTCCACCCGCCCGTCACAGCGGCTCCCTCCACCAACCAGACGTAGGGATCCAGAGAGTCCTGCTCAGAGAGAGAGGGGAAATGTCCTGCATCCTGCCTTGTCTCTCCCTTTCTCACAGCCTTGGACATCYTGGAGATCACCTGTYCATTCCCTTCTCACAGTGAGGAGCTCAAGGATGGGAGTTCTCCAAGGGATTTTGTTTTGCAGTCCCTAAAGCTTGCTGAGCACAAATGTCATCTCTCAGGAAGTGACAGGAATGGGAAAGCGCCRGAGCTTTCATCAGAGCTACCTCTGAGCTATCAGATATGTTCTTAATGATAAATCTGGAGCAGCTTCATCAGGAGGTGGCCTGTACAAGGCCTRGRTGACAGGAAGAGCAGTAGCCTTGCTCCACCTCCAAACTGGCAATGGCCTCTGCTGGGACAGCTAGGGGAGAACCCACCTCTCCAGCTCTCTGCATCCCTATTGATTTGGGATGTGGAGCTTGCGACTTGATCAGGAAGCAGAGGGATAAGGGCCTTTCTTACAAAACAYGACAAGTTTGAGGTTCATACTG